AATTATCTCCAGTATAAATCCATAACAAGTAGAAAACTGTTGTAAAGTAAACAAAAACTCAAGTCTTTAAGAACATTTTATGCCTTTATTGTTTCTTTCATATCAGCTCTTGATAAGATAAATATATTACATTAAATAAACATTATTTCTCTACAGTTCAAACACACAACGCACCATCTCTCCTGGGACTGATGACTTTAAGAAAACACAGATGAGTTTAAAGTGCTTTGTTGCTTAATGGAGCAATTCAAGTGTCGAAAGGTGCAAATATGTATCTTTAATTTAACCATCATTTCTTCCAAAAACTCAGTAGATTTGTGATCTTCATTATAATACATAACAGATTTAAAATGACAAAAGCTGCCGGGTGAGGAAAGACCTTCTGAAGAGCAACGGCAAAACAAAGATTGAAATTAGAGACGGGACACATCTTCAATTAAAAACAATCCCAGCTGACTCATAATTAAAAACACAAGACTACTCTCCATGGTAAAACCTCACTGATATCTAATTGACTCATTCTTATGTTCTGCCTCACAGTCACTGACTTCACTGTTCACTGTGTTTTTTATCTTTTAAAAACACACTCATGCATGTCTCTTTTTTAAGATTATAATGGGCAAGGCACCCCCAACACCACTCTGCACTTTTATACAGCAGAACAATTCAAACAGCAGAACCACAAGGTCTGCCCTAAGAGGGGCTGTGTGGTCCCTCTTAGGTCCAGTTCCTAAACACTGTTTCCCTGTGAGGGCATCAACACTTTGGAACACAATAGTGTTAGGGAATCATTTGCTTAGGTATTCAACCTTCGACCCAGTTCATGTTTTTCTCCTCTCACTGTCTCCTTCCCCACGGCATAGGTCTACGGCCTTGGGTTCTGCTGCTATCTCTCTTAAGGAGGGGCAGCTTGGGCGCATTGTTGTTGACCGAGCACAAGCCGCCATGAGGTAGTTTACTGTTCAGGGACGAAGGTTCCCTGGCGCCCATTCTTTTCTATGGACGAGAGCTCTAGTTAGATTCAGGGTCCATAATTGTTTCGTCTCGCTGATGAAGAATGTTGATTATTACACTCTGAACTAGTTAAAACCTCGAGCTGCAGAAAGAGTTCTTCAGAATTGGTTTGGCAACTGGTGACACACCACCTGTCTTGTCAATTCTCCGGCCGTAACTCAAAATAAACCCATCAGTGTTTGCCATCAAAGCTCCAGTCCTATTTCCAATTGCTTCAGAGGTTTCCCCCACAACAATATGTGTGTTTGTAACCTTGGGATGTGTGTGTTCGATCTAGGAATCTAGTTTGCATGCATTAACATAAACTTCTGTTCCTGGATACGGACACAATATAGGTCCATGGACAGACATCTAAACACACTAAACACATTTCAAAGACCTTAATATGTCCCAACAAGCAGGTAACTATTATTAACAGTATATTTCATCAAAGTTTGGGGGTAAAAACTGCCTCGCTGAGAACATTTAGGCTCTTATAAGGCAAGGAGAGTTTATTTATATAGCACCTTTCAACACAAGACCATTCAAAGTGCTTTATAAAAATGAAAGACATTAAGAACATTGAAAAATAAAATGTCATTTAAAAACACTAATTTAAAAGCAAAGATTATAAAACATGAACAACACATATTCTAAGTCAGCAAATGTGTTTGGTGTGTCTGGTGTAGGAATGACTGTATTGTACATGGATAGGATCAGCATGTATGTAGCCTATTGTTTGCATACATTAACATGAACAACAACCAACACTAACATGTTCATACAGAGTAGATATTAATATAAATCTGCTTCATATTTGCCATGTGTTCATGTGTGTGTTCATGTGTATGTTCATGTGTGTGTTCATGTGTGTGTTCATGTGTGTGTTCATGTGTGTTCATGTGTGTGTTCATGTGTGTTCATGTGTGTTGATGTGTGTTGATGTGTGTTCATGTGTGTGTTCATGTGTTCACTCGCTCCCCACAGAGCCTCTGAACACAGCAGAGCTTCACATGAGCGTCTCTTGTTCCACATCTAATCCCATCTCCTCCTCACACTCGAGATGTGTGCTCCGGTCTAATCAGATTAACAAGCGGCACCTGGAGCTGGATCAGAGTCACGGCTTTGTTCCTGCAATTCATTCAGAGGAGCTGTTTGACTGCCAGCAGACATGTGTACATTAACAACGGGGGCTAATTGCAGATGGTAGCATGCGTGTAGTGTACATTCATTCATATTTTCATATTTTTAGAGTCACCCTGCCATATTTTGAAGGTATAACATGCATACTGTATGTTATCTCTTATTGGTACACACTTTGAAGAACATTTTTATAGTGTTTTTGTAAATAGTTGATTACAATTCACATTAATCTTTTCCAAGGGTTGCTCTGTTTTGCACTAAGAAGCTAAATGGGTATTGTGTGTGTACAGTAGGTTCTTAAAAAGAGACGCTAGGTAATTCAACAACCCAAAATGACTTCAAGGAGACACAAAATGAATAGAAATGTATGCAACCTGACCGCAAAGACAGTGTAAATGAATGAGAATAATGAATGCAAAACAAAGTACAAACTACAAAGCCATACAAAATGACTAAGAGAAGACTCTTTAAGCTCCAGTGTCTGGACGGGGGAAGACAAAAGACAGTATACGGTTTTTTAACACTCTAATCAAAAGTATTTCTCCCCATATCTCCAGGCATCGCCCCCCTACCTTCCACCTGCAGGCCTGGTACGATGAGGTGAAGGATTACTCCTTCCCGTACCCTCAGGAGTGCGACCCCTACTGCCCCTTCAGATGCTCCGGCCCCGTGTGCACTCACTACACTCAGGTAGCTCGGATCGTACCATCCTCTGTAGACTCCATCCTTTAGTGATTTAAAAGGTCACCTATTGTGCAAAATCCTCTTCTTCATGTGTCCCCTCTTCTCCATGTCTCTTCTTCATCAACATGTGTCCCCTCTTCTCCATGTCTCTTCTACATCAACATGTGTCCCCTCTTCTTCATGTCTCTTCTACATCAACATGTGTCCCCACTTCTTCATGTCTCTTCT